GGGCTCAAGCGAGTCTCCTGCCTCCGCCTCCCAAGTAGCTGGGACCACAGGCGCCCGCCACAACGCCCGGCTATTTTTTGGTTGTAGCCGTCATTGTTGTTTTGGCGGGTCCGGGCTGGGGACTCGAACCCGCCACCTTAGGTGTACGTGGCTGGCGCCTTAGCTGGCTGAGCTATAGGCGCCGAGCCGTCCTCAAACTTTTTAAACAGGGGGCCACTTCACTGTTCCTGAGACCATTGGAGGGCTGGACTGCAGGCTCCAGGACGAGTCGGCTGCTAAGCAGGACAGGCAGCAGCGGCAAAAACAGCCAGTGGGCTGGATAAATGTCCTAGGCAGGCTGCATGTGGCCCACAGGCCATAGTTTGAGGATGCCTAGCTTAAGCGATTCCCTAGGCTTAGCCTCCCAAGTAGCTGGGACTACAGGTCCCTGCCAGAACATCCAGGTAATTTTTTTTTTTTTTTTTGCAGTTTTTTAGCTGGGCTGAATTTGAGCCCACCACCCTTGGCATACTTCTTGAGCCACAGGCGCTGCCCATCCAGCTAATTTTTGGTTATAGTTGTTATTGTTGTTTTGCAATCCCAGGCTGGATTCAAACCCACCAGCTCCAGTGTATGTGGCTGGCGCCCTAGCCACTGAGCTATAGGTGCTGAGCCCATTGTGTCAATTTTTTATTGATTTTTTTATTGCTTGTTTTCAGATTCATGAATATTATTTGCTTTTAGAGGCATTCTTATTTATTTCTGATCTTCAATTTATCTGTGCTTAAAGATGTTACATAAACAGCTTTGACTGCTGCATTTACCTTTCATCAGCCCTAGTAAGTGAGCTGAGAGCTACCAGTAAAAAGTCAAGGAAGGTTATTAATAGCTAGTTTTTCTAGAGCATAGCTTTTCTTCAGATCCTTCATTATGACTAATTTGTATTCTCCCTCTCCCTTCTTTCATGGTTCTTGAATAATGTATAACTTGTTATTGAACAGAGCTGAGGGTTTCCCCCTTGACTTGTGTCATTATGTTAATTACTTGGTGTTACTCTGATGTCTTTGTATATAATTAGGCACAAGAGAACAGCAACTCTGTAAAGAAGAAGACAAAGTTTGTCAATTTATACACAAGAGAGGGACAGGACAGGCTTGCAGTCCTGCTCCCTGGTCGCCACCCTTGTGACTGTCTGGGCCAGAAGCACAAGCTCATCAATAACTGTCTCATCTGTGGGCGTATTGTCTGTGAACAAGAAGGTTCTGGCCCCTGCTTATTCTGTGGCACTCTGGTAAATTGTTTCTTTTCTATTTTATTTTACTATGTTTTGTGTTAAAACACAGAACTATTCAGATTCCTAGTAATTTTCCTTTTCCTTAGTAAGTTATTTCCTTAAGTTGTCCAGTGAACCCCAGTAGCAGAGGATTGATTAGTCAGAAACCTGAGGTTATATCTTACTACTGTGGCCTGTTAGTAGAAGAGTTTTGAGAACATACATTATTGAGAGATCCAGGTTTTGTATCTGATTAACTTTTAATTCAAGAAAACTTTAGGCCCATGATTGCATTAATGTACACAGCTATGATTTAATAAAAAAAAAAAAAAAACTTTAGAGAGTCAAGTGTCAAAACATTTCTTCAAAGTCCTAGACATGTGATGATACCACTGTACTCTAGCATAGGTGACAAAACAAGACTGTCTCAAAAGGAAAAAAAAACCTTAGATGTGGCTCATATCCCTAGGAAAACAAGGCCACTGTGACATAATCCTCAGTCATTATAGCTTCTGTTTCCAGGATACCACCTTGTTATTTCTCTGCTTTGTCTGAAAGAATGACCTCAAGAATGTAGCAGTAATGACTCCCTCACAGAAACCCTAATGAGCTGTCTAGAAAGCTTATTCTACCAGTTGAGCTGGCTGGCAGAAGCAATGACATTTGGTGTTGATAAAGGCCTCCACTTTATATTACTTTATTTTCTCCACTTTAGGGACCTTTCATTTTCTCATATACAGAGAGAATAAGCTGATATACAAAGGAAAACTTGAAAAATATAGTGTTATACAATAAAATGGCAGTAACTCTCCTTTTGTATGTGGTTTTCTCTTTAGAAACACTCTGTAACTGCTGCAGAAACTATGTCATTGAGGTAACTGTTAGGATATACTTTGGAGTGTTTTCTCTTAGGTCCTTTGGTTCCTTTCAGTTCAAGAAACAGTAATTAAAAGCAAATTGACCTTGAACTTTTTACAGTTTTATAAGCTCAGTATATCTCCTTCTTAGCCTCTCTTCTTACAATTGCAGTGACTTTAATAAAGAGAGCTTTTCTTTGCTTAGTATATTCACTATTTTATAAATAGGTAGATTTGAAGGCAAAGGAACAAAATATATACAATGTAGGGTATAAAAGGCAGACTAGTCTCTCTGGTGACACTATAATTTGCCTCTTTTTCTGGTTTTCTGTAATAAGGTAAGACATGTGCTTATACATTAATTTATCACACCAGATTTAGACTTTATGATTATAAGCAGAAGGTTTTTTTCCCCATAAGTTTTTTTGTTTTTTTTTTGAGATGGGGATCTTGCTATATTACCAAGGCTGATCTCAATCTCCTGATCTCAGGTAGTTCTCCTACCTTAGCCCTCAGCCTCCTGAGTAAGTGGCTGGCATAAGCTATAGCATCCAGCTTTTTTCTTTGTTGTTGTTTTTTCATTTTTTTCTGGGATAGGGTCTTAGTCTGTTGCATAGGCTAGAGTTCCATGATATCAGCCTAACTTACAACCACCTCAAACTCCTGGGTTCAAGCAATCCTCTTGCCTCAGCCTCCCCTACAGCTGGAACTATAAGAGCCTGCTCCAACACCCAGCTTATTTTTCTATTTTTAGTAGAGAAGGGGTCTCATTCTTTGGCTGGTCTTGAACTCCTAAGCTCAAGGGATTCTGTTAACTTGGCCTCCCAGCGTGCTAAGATTACAAGTGTGAGCCACTGAGCTGGGCCAGGTCCAGATTTTTTTAAAGTCTCATTTGTTTTTTAAGTATTCTCTGCAGCAACAAATATTTATTCTTTGAAAGTAGTTTAGTTTTTTTTTTCTTGCAGTTTTTGGCCGGGGCTGGGTTTGAAACCCCTACCTCTGGCATATGGGGCCCAGCGCTCTACCCCTTTAAGCCACAAGCACTACCCCCAGTTAGTTTTTTTTTTTTTTTTTTTAAACCAGTAAGTCATTTGAGAGTACTTGTAATGAGATTTTTTTTTTTTTTTGCCCAGCAGGTTTGAACCCACCAGCCCTGATGTATGTGGCTGGCACCCTAAACATTGAGCTATGGGGTGCCAGGCCAGCAATGAGATGTTTTTAATGGCTCATAAAAAGAGAAATGGGAAGAGATTGAGTACAAAAAATATACAGATGTGTATATTTGTCTGGAGGAAAACACACCAAGTCTCATTATTTCACTGTCATATATAATGTTTAATTGGACATTACTTTAGGTATATCAAACAGTATAATTTAACTATTGGATCACGTGTTTTACTTTCATTATTTTATAGGTATGTACTCATGAAGAACAAGATATTTTACAGCGTGACTCAAACAAAAGCCAGAAACTGCTAAAGAAGCTCATGTCAGGTAGACAGCAGCCTTCTATTTGGATCACTATGGTGATGAATACATTTATTGTATCTGTGGTGGTTTTTCTTTTCTGTACTGTGGTGGTAATATGCAAGATGCAGTTTATTCACTCATTGATTTTACAAGGATTTATTTTTTTAAATTATTAAGTTACATAACATTAAATAGGAAAGTAAATAATAGTAGTATTGGATTACCACCCAAACAGTAAAATTAATACCCATGAGACCATATTTGTCTAAGCAACTAAATGAATTAATAAATGGGGAAGAAGAGGCAATTCTTTCTTATAGAATAATTCTGATAAATAAAGTAGAAGAGGGCTAGGTGCGGTGGCTTATGCCTATAATCTGAGCCAGGTGTTGTTGTGGGTGCCTGTAGTCCCAGCTACCTGGGAGATTGAGGCAAGAGAATCACTTGAGACTAAGAGTCTGAGGTTGGTGTGAACTATGATGCCACTGCCCTCTAGCAGGGCAGGGGAAGGGGGACACAAAAGTCGGACTATGTCTCAAAAAAATAAAAAAAATTAAAAATAAAGGGGCCAAACACAGTGGCTCATGACTGTAATCCTAGCACTCTGAGAGGCCGAAGTGGATGGATTGCCTAAGCTCACAGGTTCATGACCAGTCTGAGTCAGAGCGAGACCTCATCTCTAAAATAGCCAGAAGTTCTGGTGGGTGCCTATAGTCCCAGCTACTCAGGAGGCTGAGACAAGAGAATCACTTGAGCCCAGGAGTTTGAGATTGCTGTGAGCTATGGAGCTATGACTCCATGGCACTCTAGCAAGGGTGACAAAGTGAGACTCTGTCTCCAAAAAATAAAATAAATAAAATTAAATAAAATAGAATGATAAAATAAAATAAAATAAAATAAAAATAACAGAGGCAAGAGAATTGCTTAAGCCCAAGAATTAGAGGTTGTTGTGAGCTGTGATGCCATGGCACTCAACTGAGGGTGACATGAGACTCTGTCTCAAAAAAATAAATAAATAAATAAAAATAAAAAATAAATATTAAAAAATAAAATAAAAGTGGGCATGGTGGCTCACTCCTCTAATGCTAGCTCCCTGGGAGTTCAGGGTGGATGGATTGCTTGGGGCAGGAGTTCCAGACCAGCCTGAACAAGAGTGAAACCTCATCCTTACCAACCTTAGAAAAACTAGCTGGGCATCATGGTTCCTGTAGTCCCAGCTGCTTGGAAGCTGAGGTAGGTGGATTGCTTGAGCCCAAGAGTTTGAGGTTGCTGTGAGCTATGATGATGCCGTGGTACTCTACCCAAGGTGACAGAATGAGGCTCTGTCTCAAATAAAAATAGAAAAATAAATAAAGTAGAAGAAATGAGGATATTAGGAAATCTCCATTAGGGCTGGGTACAGTGACTCACACCTGTAATTCTAGCACTTGAGATACCAAGTGCCAGGAAAAAAAAAAAAGAATATCTCCATTAGAACATCTCAGTATGGCTTGGTACCCATAGGTCAGTGGTTAGGGTGCTGGCTACATACAGTGGGGGTAGCGGGGTCAAACCTAGCCCAGGCCTGCTTAACAACAAGACAACTACAACAACAAATAGGCAGGTGTTGTGGCAGATGCCTGTAGTCCCAGCTACTTGGGAGGCGGAGGCAAGAGAATCACTTAAGCCCAAGAGTTTGAGGTTGCTGTGAGCCGTGACACAACAGCACTCTACCAAGGGTGACAAAGTGAATCTCTGTCTCAAAAAACCCAAAAAACCTCAGTAAGAGATTCTAGGGTCATAAAAGACATGAAGAGACCGAAGAAAAGTCACAGATTGGAGCATTATTTTCTTTCTTTTTTTTTGTTTCTTTTTTTTTGGAGACAGAGCCTCAAGTTGTCCCCCTGGGTAGAGTGCTGTGGCATCACAGCTCACAGCAACCTCCAACTCCTGGGCTCAAACGAGTCTCCTGCCTCAGCCTCCCAAGTAGCTGG